ACGATGTCATACTATCCTGATGGCTATTAATATTCAGTACATAAAAGTGGCTCTTACTACTGCTGATAGACTATTTTAGTCTCATAAGCAAGTTTGTGTTGGTACCACATTTCATATTGCTATAATGGCTGCAAAAATATTTCTCTGGAATTTTACAAACCTGTCATATATTTTTGCTATTCTTGTTTCTCCTCTACCTTTCCTCAAACTAATGCGAGTTGTTGAGGCATGTGCCAGTATGTGTCCGCCAATTGGTTTCTTGGGGTCAGCTTGAAAACTAAAAAAGAAACGTCAAAGTTGGTATTTTCTTTCATTTCATGTTATTTGATAAGCTCCACATCCTAATTTAAATTATAGGAAAAATGATGGTAAAGGCAATTGATTTACCTCATTGTTGCTGTGTTTGTTTCAACCATCCATACCAGGCAGCCACAGAGGAGATTTAAAAGAAAGTAAGAATAAGTAAGAAATTATGTTAAAGAGAATAGCAAAATTAATATACCGGTAATCTTGCAGAAATGAAACATAAATGACCAATCAACAACAGTTTATTTCTACTACTGTAAATCAGTGAAAACTAAGCACACACCTCCTGGATCTGCTGTCATCTGCCAAGAGGAGAAAACATATGTTATAAGGCATTGTGGAAATTTGTGTTGAATTTGGGCAAACAAGCTATTTTCACAAAAGCTGTACATGTGTTACAAATACAAGTATACAGTGTACAATGGTGTACAGGGATGTTCTGGTAATCTCTAAAATGTTCTTTTACAATAACTGCAGAAATTCTCGCATGCTCATTGGCTAATTTTGAGACAGACACATGAATTTATAATTTATTGTAAAAACAAATTGAAGTCAGTTTTTCATGTGTCTGTCCTGTTATTGAGAATGAATTTCGTCATAACATTGTTAAAGTAGTCTACGGATCCACTTGGCCATCGCCTCATAGATCCACAGCTACTTTGACAATGTTATGACGAAATTCATGATCAATAACAGGACAGACGCATGAAAAACTGATGTCAATTTGTTAAATTTACAATGCATAATAATTCTTTTTTTTTATTTTGAAGTGCCAAATTCTCAAAGCTCTTTTTTTATTAACAGCTGTGCAACAGTGGGTCATGTAATTAGCTGAACTCCACTGACAAAAACTAAGGGCTCTACAAATAATCAGAGCAACCTGGATAAACAAGAATAAAGGTTAAAATTTTCCACTGATTGATAATCATGATGATTGGCATACCTGACATTGACATACCTGATTGGTGATGAAAATTGCAATGTTGAATTCTGTAAAATAGAGCCAAAAAAAATGATTGTGGGAATAATTTGCAAATATTTTAAAATCAGTTAATGAATAGTTTCTTTTTTATTTATCTTGGACTTCTGTGAGTTTTGCTTGTTTATTCCATTTTCACATTATGTTTTTACCAATAGGGGAAGATCTCAAAAATTACTTAATCTATATACAGTACAATATATTTGTATTGTCACTGATGAAGATCCATGATTGGTTGGAAAAAAGTAACCTGTGTAAATTAGGTAGAAGCTGTAAAACTGACTCAAGGAATATTGATGTAGCTCACCCTCAGAGAGTTTTTGCAGTCGTGATAACATCTGAGCAAGTTTTTGTTGCCTGTCAGCCAATTCGCCTCTTCCACAAAAATCAACTCTAAAGAGTGCCATTATTGAGTCAATTATCTGATAAAAATAATTAATAACAGACACATAATCTCAGAAATAAAAATTCTTGTAACTTTTATCATGAGAAAGAGACTGATGATACGTCTATATCCTGTGTAGGGTGTTTACAGTTTTGGCGTTTCTGAAGTATAGATATTCTCCAAAAATGTTATTGATTATGTCTTGTTAACCCCAGCATCAAGCTTTAATTGTTCCTGCTTGAGCCACGCCCATCAAAGTTTGCCTGGCGTGTTATTGGAAAGATAGTCTAGGTTCTAGTATGATTGTGACATCACTTCAGGAATGACAAATCTTGCTGTGAAGCTTTTTCTTATGATGCCTCATGTGAAAGTAAGTGGTACCCTTGAAGCATTTGGGTCCCCATGCAAACCGCAGCCCATGGTGGCAATAGCATCAAGAACACTGAACACAACAATGAATCTGTGGACTCTGTCCTCTGGTAGCTGAGAACAACATGAAATGATCAGTTTATCTTATTTTGTTGGAGAATGTGAATCATGAAGATTATGTTTTCATTCTGCTGTTTGGTTTCATGTGCTCTTCCTGATGTAGTCATTAGTCACCAATCTCCCACCACTGGGTCAACCAGGGTGGGTGTGGCTCACACTGGAAATCTAAGGCTTGATTTCATGGTCAGAAGTGTCAAAATTGTAATTTTTGGTGGGGAGATTAATATCTATGCGTCATAGATAAGCTATGGCTGTATGGGTCACTTGGCCCAATGCAGACTTCTGTCTTTGCCTCACAGAAATGCAAAAAGAGTTAAAAACCTGTAGACGATGTAGGAAGTATAACTGTTGTTAACATGTTTGGTACATGCATTTTATTATGTTTTTCATTTACGCATACCATTAGCTTGAATACTCCAGGTTCTTCATGGAACTTTGCAGCCACACTATCCATTAACTCGTACTGATGTTCACCTATGAGTGGAATTATTATGGTCACATTAATTTGTGATAAATGGAATTAATAATAATGATAATGATAACAAATGTTACTATTTATATGATCAGCAAATTTGAAGTAGACTAGTACATATCATTATTGTTGTACATGTTGCTGAGTGGCATGCTGACAGAGCATTGACAAGGTGACCCATGACACTAATATCACTTACTTGTGTATGCTCGGCAGTACAGAACATTGTCCAGCATTGCATTCTGGTCAAGGTTGAATCTGTCTGCAATCTCTCTAAGTCGATCAGGTCGACTGTTACAGTTAATGTAAAGGAGAATGGCCAGAGTGAAATATGAATTTGAATATTATAGGAAACATTAAAGTATTTAGTTCCAATAAACCAGAGTGCAGTTCCTCCTCAAATTTTTGTCGCAATATTCAGAACAGGAAATGCTTGTCTAGTCACTAAGTTAAGAAACAATAAACCATGTTCAAAGGATACAAAGTGTTCTGTAAAAAGAGTGATGAAGATGGTAATTAATATATCCATGTTGAAGACTGAAAGGCTTGGTTCATTAAATCAGAAGGTTTTTAAACACACAATAACAGTTCTGAGTTACATAACCATAATATAAAATCACACTTGACCTTTTTTCCGATAACTATTGTCTATAGAGTTGATATCATAAAAGCCTATCCATATTGCGATGGCCAAACATTTCATTTTTCCTTTTTGTTGAGCAAGTTCATATTTGTGATTGCAGAAAGTTTAAAAATCTTTCTAATATGTACAATAGGTACCTCTGTATCGATGAAAATTACTTTTCCTCCTGTATAGCCATTTGCTCCAGGCAGCTGTGCTGTAACTGGCAAATAACATGCCACAATAAGCACTTAATGACTGGCCCCAAGGGAAACAGTGAGTTTTGTTTCCCTGAGACCCTCAATGTTCCCTGATGTGAAGCCGAGGGGGAACATTGAGGTCGCAGGGAACAAAACTCACTGTTTCCTGCAGGGCCAGTCATTAAGTGTTTTGTTACACCTCCCAGCTCAAAAGTAGAAAAAACTGCAAAGAAATTGTTGCTTTACGCCGGCTGGCTCACCAATTTGCCGCGGTTTCAAGGAGTGCGACCTGATCACGTGCGAGTTGAAGGTTCATGTTGTTCATGTTGTCATGTTAGTGAGTTTTGACCCACGACACATGAAACATTTTCCTCCAATCAGAAAATGTATTTGAGTTAGGAGGTATAACAACAG